CGCATCCACAGAAGCGCCACATGCGTGCGCTCACAGTTCTGAACTGGTAGTGAAGGTAAGTGGAACCCACTACTGTAAGAAGGGGCTTGAAAATTCATGAAATATCAGTATATCTTGATTATTTTCATAGATGTAGAATTTTCTTTTCAAAACAGTGGCTCTGTCTTAAACTGGCAAGATTATTTTTTCCTCAGTCTACAGGGATAGACATTTCCAGCTGGTCTATGGCTAATTACTTCTGGTTCATTACATCTGTGCTCATTTTCTCTGGGTTATTTTATGCCTAGGAAAAGTTGCAGGGAAGGGAGGTCAAAAAATATATCACAAACAATCAGAACAATTCAGATCATTATCAGGTACATTTTATACTGGAATAGAAAAGACTGAAGTGTCTAAAGAAGTGTTGTAGGAAGATGCATCTTACAATGCACATGAGAATTATCTAAAACGATCAAAATGTTTATAGCTTTCCATGAAATATTGCAACAAAATATTGCAAATCTAACTGAAAGATCAATTAAAAGGTATGTTTAAAATGCTGGGAAAAAGGCAGCAATCTTGTAACCAAAGAGAGGATTTAAAGAGCTTCATTTTCTATTTATTATGACTCTTTTTTTCCCCTTTGGATAGTCATTACTCTGTACACATCCAAAGTTTTCACATACCCACATACACACTGAAGTACTACTGTATATACCATTAGAACCTTGGTGGCACTGTGGACTAAAGTGCTGTTAAGTAGCGCTTAGCGGCCAGCTGCCTGTAATTGCTGCAAGTTCAAATCTCACAAAGTTGACTCAGCCTTCCATCCTTCCGAGGTAGGTAAAATGAGGACCCAGATTGTGGGGGCAATAAGCTGATTTTGTATAAAAAAATTGCTTAATGCATTGTACAGTAAGCTGCCCTGAGTCTCTGGAGAAGGGCGGCATATAAATCAAACCAATAAATAAATAAATAAATAAATAAATAAATAAATAAATAAATAAACAAACAAACAAACAAACAAACAAACAAACAAACAAACAAATAAATATTTACTGTATTATTTACATTATTTACTTCGCTGTTATATCATGTTAATTATCCATCACTAGGCAGCTGTTTACATATTTTACACTCTCACATTTGCACTTATTATCCAGTGCATAATTTGTTTCAAGTGCATGCCAAATGGCTATTTCCCCAGCTTTTTTACACTTTTGATTATATACAATCTATCGACTTGGTCTCTTTTATGTGATTGCATTTAGTTTGCTTATTTTGTCTAACAAAGAGAACAGTGAATTTAGTATTAAGATAGGCAGTTCTTCAATGCATTTCAGTGTTTCTTTTCCATTTTCCTCATTTTGAATCAAAACATGTAACATGCAATACTACAGGAATAACATGCATCAGTGAACATACATATGTACAAAAGGATACAAAGATTTTTAGGATAAAATGTTTAAAAGTCAATGTAATAAGAGAAAATAGCAGAGTATCAAGACACATGGAAGGAGAGGTTAAATCTGCTCACAAATATATTCCCATCTCCTTCTTGAAAGTTTTTCAGAGTATGCAACAATCATAAACCTCATTTGTGAAAAGCAGGAACTGAATATAAAACTGTGTATACAAACCCTGTTGGTTTGACAATTTGGGCAATGCCCCCACATAGAAGTATTCACTGTGCTGCATAGTTACTTCCTCTTTCAAGAGTTAGTTCTAGCAATCAGTGCATCTGAGAAAGTACTGTCCAATCATTATTCTTTCAGATGCTTATACAGCAGAAAAACACTAAATGTGTGACACCATGAGGCTTCTACGGTAGTGACATAATTTCTATACTAATGCTGAATTTTGACCATTCACTATTGATATGCTCGTAACACTAATCATTTCAAAAACTATACTATACTACACCATTCATAGATCCTAAAACTCCAGATGGAGCACAAATGGGTACATAAAGAGATGGAGACTTTTAATAATTTTGGAATGCTACAGAGCTATGGTTAAAATGTTGGACTGGAGTGGAATCTTCAGACCCATTTTTCAGTTCATCTATGGAGTTCACTGGATTACTTAGGGCCAATTCCTTTTCCTCATCTGGAACATGATAAATTGAATGAAACCAACCTCAATAATTTAGATCATTCCTACTGGGAGACAGGTAGAACAGGGATATAAATCCCTGCCACACTCTTCTTGGATATTTAGAAAATATTCTCCCATACCAATCCTCACAATGAACAGTTCAAAGTAGGAACATTAGATTGCACTCATAGAATGTAATTATTTATTTTTTTTAGTGAACATGGATCCTCCATTAATGAATATTTATAGCAAAATTTCAGGCAGGTAGAACATTTGGAATAGAGGTGGTAGTGATCATATGCCCTAAGAAATATGTTTCTGAATAACAGAAATGATAACGACAAAGAATAAAAGTATTCTTACATGAAGAGATTAGAATCACTTGTTTGAGATAGCATTCAAACAAAAGTATAAGAACTTAATCCATCATTATCTGTTGTATATTATATTTGTGAATGTATATTTTAAAGCAGCCAACTAGATATCACAATCACAACTCTTTTCCTGATAACCTCTAAGGATTAAAAACAGGAAACAGTGAAATAAGTATTGAATATTGAAGCATTTTCTGCGTATAGATGAGCATTCCTGGAGTGCAAGTCTAATATGATTAATAATTATGGGGAAATCATCAGATTTGCAGATGACACCAAGCTGGCAGGAATAGTCAAAACTCCAGAAGATAGGCTTAAGATCTAGAAGGATCTTGACAGACTTGAACATTGGTCACTATCTAAAAAAATAAAATTCAATGGTGAAAAAAATAAGGCTCTACATTTAGGAAAGAAAAACCAATTGCACAAGTATAGTATAGATCATCTGGCTCAATAGTAGTAGCTGTGAGAGGGATCTTGGAGTCCTAGTGGACAATCTCTTACATATGAGCCAGTAGTGTGCTGCAGCTGCCGAAAAAGCCAACTCAGTCTTAGGCTGCATCAACAGAGGGATAGAATCAAGATCACATGAAATGTTAGTACAACTTTAGAGTGACTTTAGACACTTGGAATACTACATATAGCTTTGGTCACCACACCATAAAAAATGTTGAGACTCTAGAAAGAGTGCAGAGAAGAACAGCAAGATGCTTAGGGGACTGGAGCCTAAAACATGTAATGAACAGTTGCTGGAGTTTGGTATGTCAAGTTTAATGAAAAGGACTAGGGGTGACATGATAGCACTTTTTCAATATCTAAGGGGTTGCCACAAAGAAGAGGGAGTCAACCTATTGTCCAAAGCACCTGAAGGCAGGACAAGAAGCAGAGGATGGAATTAGTTAAGGAGAGAAACAATCTAGAACTAAGGAGAAATTTCCTGACAGTTAAACAAATAATCAGTGGAACAACTTGATTCCAGAAGTTATGAATGCTCAAGCACTGGAAGTTTTTAAGATGAGATTGAACAACCATTTGTCTGAAGTGGTAAAATGTTTCCTGCCTGAATAGGGGGTTGGATTAGAAGACCTGCAAGGTCCCTTCCAATCAGTGATGGGATGCTACCGGTTCGGACAAACTGATAGTTGTGATCTGCGGGTGGGCCTGCCTGCCCACCCACCTGCCCCAGTGCTATGCCATCCTATTTGTATTTTTTAAGCCACGCACATGCGTGCAAGCCGACCGCAAGACCAAAGTGCATGCGCGGAAGGCCTCCCTGCGCGCGCACATTTTCGGGATGAACTAGTTGTTAATTCATGTACAGAGCACCTTTGCTTCCAACTCTGTTATTCTGTTCTGTTATTCTGCACATTCCTGTTAATCAAAAGAGAAATGTTGCAGACCAAAACCAACTGGAAAAAGACAAGTGGAAGGGGAGAAGAGTAGGAGAAGCAAGCATTACCAAAATGGAAAGATTCTTCTATATATTAATAATATTGGTTGGATAAAAATGCCAAATCCAATCTAAATTTCTAGCTGCCTGTGCGACCAACCAGAATATAATAAAATTGTATGCCATCCAACTCCTAGCAACTCTGGAAGTCTTGCTAAATTCCATATAACTAGTAGATACTGGTTTAATCCAATGGTCGAAAGGCTTGACTAGGATTGAAAGTCCAGGATTCCCTGATGTCTTAGAAATCTATTGGAGAGTCTACATCTGAATTCATACAGCACTCTTATTCTACTGCAGAGTTCACTGTCTGCATTTCAGCAGTACATTCAATTATAAGGAATTGGATCTTCTAAGTCTCCAACCCACTCATGGTCCATCTCTCCCTATCTTCCTCCTCTCCTCTCCCCTTCCCTCCCTTTCTACTCCCATTCCTTCACTCTCCACTTTCTCCTTTCTCTTTTCCAATTCCCTTCTCTGTTACTCTCCCCCTCCTTCTCACATCCCTCTCCCCTTCTCCTCCTTTCCCCTTCTTTTCTTCCTGCACTCCCCCTCCACCGCCCCTCTCCCCCTCCTTTCTTCTCCCTCATCAACCTGACCCCCTCATGGTCTCTCTCCTTCATCCCCCTCTCCCCTTCTCTCCAGTTCCCACTCCCCCCACATCCTCCTACCCCTTCTCTCTTTCCCTGTCCCCTCTCCTACTTGCTTTCTCTCTCCCTCCCCTCTCCGATCCCATTCCCTTTCCCTTTTCCTCTCCCTTTGCCCAGCCTCCCTTCCCCCTCCCTTCCTCTCCCTCTCCTCCCCCAACTCCTTCATGATCTATCTCTCCCTTCCTATCCCCTTCTCTCCCTTTCCTCTTCTTTCTCCCTCACTCTCACTTTCCTCTTCCCCACTTCTCTTTTCCTCCCCCTCCTTCCCTTCTATTCCTAATCTTTCCTCTGCCTTTTGCTCCCCCTTTTCTCCCCCCTTCCCCCTTGCTCTCCCTTTCCCTTTTCACTTCCCTGACTCTTCCTTTTATCCTGATCTTGATCCTCAACCTAACCCTCATCCTAACTCTCACACTAATCATAATCCCAACCCAAATTCTCATTCTCACTTACCCCTCTGATAGCTGATTACAAAAAAAGGGAAAATTCCCCAGAATCCAGGAGCCCTTCTGAAGACCAACCTGCCTATTGGGAAGTATCTTCACTCTGATAACTGATAACTTACAGTAACTGACAGTTTAATCTGCAGGTGTGAAGTCATAAAACCATCACAATTCCCAAGGAGATGATCTCCCTCCCTTTATCCTCCTATCAAAGGTCACTTGCTCCCCCTTTTCTACATAACCAATGCCAGGCAAATGTCTCTAGGAAGCTAACAAACCAATAATTAAGGATGCCTGTTTCTCATTTTTGGCTCTGAAGGCATAGCTCTTTGGGGGTAAACTGCCTCTTCCTATAGAAGCTTTGCTGGGTTAGTTTCCTGAGCAGGACTCATTGGGGAAGCTGTTGGTCAACTTCTCGTTTGATTCCCTTTCTGTTGCTGTGCTGATTTTTTGTTTTGTTCCAGCATCTTTTTGTCGTGGGCAAGCTCCCATTTTAGGTTTAAGGTTTAGCATCTTGGGGAACCCAGTTTGCTGTTGGAAAACATAGTTTGGCTGGCAGAAGAAATGGAACACAATCTGATCTTAAGACATTGGGGAAGGAGATTCCTGCATGTCTTTCTCTACTATTTAGACTTTGGTGTGCAGAACAGAAAGGAGGTTGCCTTCTAATGAAGTCTCATCTAATGAAAAATAAGACAGGGGTGATATTGCAGCAGTGTTCCAATATTTGAGGGGCTGACACAAAGAAGAGGAGGACAACCTATTCTCCAAAGCACCTAAAGGCAAAACAAGAAGCAATGGATGGAAACTAATCAAGGAGTGAACTAACCTAGAAATAGAAATTTCCTAACAATGAGAACAATTAACCAGTAGAACAGCTTGCCTTCAGAAGTTGTGGATGCTCCGTAACTGGAAGTTTTAAAGAAAAGTTTGGACAGCCATTTGTCTGGAATGATATAGGGTCTCCTGCTTGAAAAGGAGTTTGGACTAGAAGATCTCCAAGGTCCCTTCTCACCCTATGATTTTGTATTTTATTAGTGACACAGGTTTTATAACTTATACTGGAAATAATTATTTACAGAAAATACATACTAGAGATAAACAAAGACTAGTAGCAAGCTACAGATTAACATGAAGAGAGTCAAAGGAATGTGTTCTCACTGTGTGTGAATCTCTGAGAACAAAGAAGGATGTGATCTCCATTTAGACATCTCTTAGACAAAAAGTAGGCAGAGTGATAGAGAAAAGACAGCACAGAACCAATTCTTAACTAACTACACCCTATTGCCCCTTGTGATCAACAACAGGTCATGAAGTGCTGAAGAGTCCTTGCCCCAGATTGGTACCTTCAACCATGAGCAAGTGTTTAACATCTTTTATATTCCTTCCACTACCATTCACTCTAAAAAAAGATATGGTAGACAGTCAATGACAATCTGATTGCAAAGGCCATGCCATTCTTGATTAATGGTTAGACAATCCATCATTAGGACCAATACTGCTGTCTTCCACCAAAGCGTTTTGAAAACAAGGAAGTACCAAAAGCTAAAATCAAAACCTATTTCAATGTTGGCAAACTGAACCTTCTTTTCAAATTGCCATGGTCAGCTCCCAAACTATACCATGGAAACCATGGACCAGTCTTAAACAGGAACAAATTCTACTGCTGCCATCACAAAACACTCAAGTTTCACAACATGTTGAGGGGATTCAATAAAAATATTTTCTAAAGCAGTCTTCTCAGAAACACACTTTGAATTGGTCTACTTTGTTTTGGATTCAGGGTTAATACTAAGGAACAATTTTTAAATGAAAAATACTGTTTCAAAAACATCAGAAGTAAAGAAATGTGATAATATGTTTATCTAAATTCATTTAAGTAAACCTGTTAGGACTCTACAAACCTAGCACTTCAATTCTTCAATGAATGTATATTGCATTAAACAAACTCTTATCACAGAATATATCTGGAGGGAACAAGATAATATTAAAGTAAATGTGCACATGGAAAAAGGAAAACAGATTCACAGCAGTAGGTGGAAATAAATTAAATGTTTAAAAATAAGGGAGTAATTGAATCCTATAGCTATTTTCATACATTAAAAACACAATACCATGTAATCCTAGAAAATCAATACAGAGCTCTGAAGCTTTAAGGCAGCATAAACTTGCACTTATTTTTACATAATAATGGCTAAGCTGACTTATACTTGGGCACATTAGTTTTTGGCTAATAATTAAATACAGTTCTGTGAACAAAGAGTTTTAAATTTTCTGAATTTTTGCATATCTTTGCCACTAAAAGTTTGCTTATGGAGTAAATGAGACAAGCACTAAACATTGGTGCTATTTGCTCACTCTGAATCCTTTTATACCTCAGTTGCACCCATATGAAATTTTGATAACAGTGTCAAAGATATTCAGAAAAAAACTGAAAGGGGGAGGAAAATACCATTTCACAGAACTGGCATCTCTTCAAAGAGTTTCATCTCTGAAATCATTCATGAAGTTGTCTGCTTCAACAGTATCTGCTGGAAGAGAAGGAATGTATTGATCTATTGGGGGCTGAACTGCCACTCATGAATTAGATTTTTTATTCATATACAGAATAATATGCATATTGAATTATATGTCTATAGATGTAGGAAATCTAAAATCCATGAGCCTCTTGCTTCTGCTTGCCTCTCCCATTCTAATGTTTAAAGATTCTTTTAATTAAAAAAAATGAAAGAACCTGGGATACTGCTAGGCAGCAGTTTTTGGCATTATTCTTAGTTATAAATCTATTTACAAGCTGTATAAATATTTATTAACATTATTACAAAACAAAACAAAAAGTGAATGATTGAAACCTAGCTTTTTGTTGGAGCTTGCTCACATGTGCCGGAGAAAAAACTTTGAAGAAAGACAATGGTCCAGAGCATCTTCTGATGTTAGAGAGGATGCTGGGGGATCCACAACATTTCATCAACCAATCCATCCAAAATTCTACCTTTAATCCCAGGTGTCAATCCAGTAAAACAAAGCCAGATATAGTAATGTATGACAATGAAAAGTGTCATGGCTTGGTTTGCTGAGTCAATCAGAACCAAAAATTATTTAATCAAGGCAGGGGTTTTCTGCATTTTTTTCTCATAGCCTTATGGGTAGCAATAAAGAATAATTTTAACTCAGGGTTGAAATGAGGGGTTTCTGGGGGGGCTTTCTGAGCTTGGAAGTTTTCTTGATCAAGATGTTTCATTACTCAAATTAGGTTAACATCTTCAGTGGTAGTAAGAAGTGGGCCCACAGAAAGGCCTCAAGAAAACAACCAAGCTCAGAGAGCACTGAAGACTCCTTATGGATAGCTTGAAAGAATCTGCATTTATAAGTTAATGCAACAATTTATTGCGAACTTATCAGCCTGAAATCCAATTCTTAGAAGTGGCATGTTTGAATTATGTATTTTTATGATGGAATTTTTAATCAATGTTAATTTATTTGAATTGGCAGAAATAATAGAAAAGTATTATAGAAGTAGATTCACCAGAAAAAATAGGTGTGGCTGTTGAGACTATGAACTTCAACATTTCTTCCCTAGTCATCAAGGGATTGGGAAAAATCACTATATGAACCAGAAAGGTTCAGCTTCAAGAAATTAAAATATAGTTCTTGTGCACTACAAACCGGTGACCCTTTCATTCTTTAATAAAAGCTAGGCACAAGTCAATTTTTCATTAAAGAGCCTTTATAGTAATGAGCCATTTTTAATTCAGGGATAATTTCAGCCATTCTTCTCTTGATTAGAGGAAGCTTGGCCTTCCTTATGTGTCGCTTAGTAAACTTGTAAATTGGATTTATTGAATTTTGCCTATTATTTGTATAATGAGATATTATACAATTTTAAAAACTGAAATACTATCTGGGAATAAAGGTATCATTCATATCTGAATATGAGTATAAATACATAGTGCATGTTTGTTCTCCCTGCCTTCTATTCACTCTCAGATCCCACTTGCTTCGCTAACAATATTCTATCAAAGATCCATTTATGCAGCAGCACAAACAGCATAGAGAGCATACAGTTTATGAGAGTAAATTGACAGCTTTGACAGCTCTAAATGCACTAAGGGCACTATCATTGCAAATTAGTCCACATTCCCAATTCAAACAAAGCGCTTTAGATGTGGGGCTGCTGCAGAGCTTTTAATTCAGTATAAGAAATAACAAATACCAGTTTACTAGCATGCACAAATTATAAATACTGAGGTTTTGTTTTTTTTATTGCTTTCACCTTTCTGATAGTCTGATTCTTCTGGGTAATTATTCCACTTCCCTCAGTACATTATACAGTCCTTTCTATAAAAAAAGACCAATCATCTAATAATGAACAGCAAAACATAAACAGTTCTGCAGGATGGTGAGTGCATAATAGCAAAATGCATTATCCAAGTATACTTTTTACTAATTTTCCTGCAACTAATAATCAAGGTAAGATTATTACAGGGAATGAATTGTGCAGGTGGGTTTCAAAATTTGTGTGCACAGTCTAAAATTTCCTGGCTCAAGATGAAAGGCAGAAAATACAGCTTTCACTGATAAATATAAAATTACAGCAATAGATGCCAAATTTAATAATTCCTCCCCCCACCCCTCCTTTTCTTCCCTTTTTGATAAACCTGAATATGATTTTTGGCATGCAAAACACTTTTTTCTCCCAACCAGTTGTTCAACATAGCATATTTTTCCGTGCAGTCTTATCATGGCAAGGAAATGTTCCTACAAAGGATAAGTGAAAAGTGCTGGGAGTGTTTCTAAGAGCATATAGTATATACTATATGTAGGATCACCCAAGACAGGAAGGTCATCCAAGCTGCCCAGCTAAAGTAAGAAAATCCAAATCTGCCAAGATAATTACAGGGAGAACATAGAATGTAAAATATTTATATGGAAAGCTCAACACAATGAAGGATAAAATGAATCAACTACATGTTGATATCTTAGGAATCAATGAATAGAAATGGACTGGAATTGGATATTTTAAGTTGGATGATCATACAGTTTTCTATTCAAGACTTGAAAACCAAAAAAAAAAAAGAAAAGAAAGAAAGAAAAAGAAAAAAGAAAGAAAGAAAGAAAAAGAACAGCCCTGTTTTCAGAGTCATGAAGGACATAGCAAATATAGCATTGTGTTCAATGAGGTCAATAACCAAA